CCTAACTTCCCCTGCTACTGGAACTGGAATTCACCAGCCTTACACACACACACACACTCTCTCTCACACAAACTCTCTGTCTCTCTCTCACACTCACACTTTAACATGTCACCAGCCTATTTAGTAAGGGCATAGTTTGTGTTATCATTTAAAAGACCATATTCATAATATTAAATGCATAAAACTCATTATTATAAGATAGGGTCCAATGATCATTTTCAGTAAACAGTTTTAAGTTAGCTATGTTAATAGTAAAGGATTTTTCAGATTCTGATATCTTAATATCTACTCCCCTCTTCTTCTCCACAGTTAAGTAAGAAATTAAGAGTGTCATGCAGAAAAATGATTTTATTGTAAGAACAGAGCCCTAGAGGCCTTGTTGCTTTATACTGAGCTGTCCATGGGCTCTGGCTTGGTCCTTCTTGGCCAGCACCATGTTTGGGGGCTAATTCCTGCTCATGCTCTGTGACCATGAAGCCGAAAAGACACCACCACTGAACTCTTAACTTTGGGCTCTCATCAGTTGAGTCACCAGCCAGACCAAATAACTATCTCTTTGAAAGACTGACCACTAAATTCCTACCAAGTTTGCCACACAAGGCCTTCCCAGTTCATACACACTGGCTTTGCACACGTCCCAGGCATGCACATGGCTGGTCACACACATCGCCTGCCTTTGGTCAGTCTCTTGTCCTCTGCTCCACACAGCAGTCAGGCTGTCCTGGTTCAGGTCATATGACCAGTCCAGTACCTTTTCCATCTAAGTTGGGAAAACTTTGAATATTATGTTCTTTTCTCTTCCTGCCTTTTTTTGAGGTCATCATCTTGTTAATTTCATACATACTTTTTATCACATTTCTTTCATATTTCAAGTAAATCTGTTTCTGTTTCTAAGCTTTTTTTCTTTCTTCCCACTTTGAGAGCCCCCAGTGTATTAGTAATTTTGGAGAGCCCCCAGTGGTATTAGTCATAGCGGATGAGCTTAAGAGTAGTGATATAGCCTGGTGCTGTCGTACATGCCTGTAGACCCAGCTATTTGGGAGCCCAAGAGTTCAAGTCCAGCCCAGGTAACATAGCAAGACCCCATCTCTTTTTATTTTTTAGATGGCTCTTAGTTTGACTCTTGTTGCCCAGCCTGGAGTGCAATGGCTCAATCTTGGCTCACTGCAACCTCCGCCTCCTGGGTTCAAGCGATTCTCCTGCCTCAGCCTCCCGAGTAGCTGGGATTACAGGCATGCACCACCATACCCAGCTAATTTTGTATTTTTAGTAGAAATGGGGTTTCTTCTTGTTGGTCAGGTTGCTCTCGAACTCCTGACCTCAGGTGATCTGCCCGCCTCGGCCTCCCAAAGTGCTGGGATTACAGGCGTGAGCCACCGCGCCCGGCAACCCCATCTCTTTAAAAAAAAAAAGAGAATAGTGATATAATCGTATCAAGGGAAAAGCACAAAGGTAAAGTAAGGCATAATAACCAGTGTTATCAACTTCCAAAGCTCTTGAGTCTCTCAGTTGGCTTCCTCCTGACTAAACCTTCTTCTACTTGCATACAGATAAAATCATTCTTAGTTATTATTTTATACTTTATGTAATTATTAGTATTGCAACACAATTAAAATATATTTCATTGGGATATATAATATTACATATAGAATACAAGATATGAAATAAGTTTTGTGAAATGACCTGGGTACTATCATTAGCAGCAATATTCCTAAGGGAAAAGTAGCCTCAGTCCTAAACCACAAATATATAGATACATTTTGGGAACATAAGCAAGTACTTGAGAACTACTTTAATGTCATTATTTCTCTGTCTTTTTTTTTTTTTTTTTTTTTTTTTGAGACGGAGTCTTACTCTGTTGCCCAGGCTTTAGTACAGTGGTATGATCTCCACTCACTGCAACTTCTGGCTCCTGGGTTCAAGCAATTCTCCTGGCTTAGCCTCCCAAGTGGCTGGGATTACAGGCACCCACCACCACGTCCAGCTAATTTTTGTATTTTTAGTAGAGACGAGATTTCACCATGTTGGCCAGGCTGGTCTTGAACTCCCGACCTCAGGTGATCCGCCCGCCTCAGCCTCCCAAAGTGCTAGGATGTTCTTGGAAAGAGGTTGACTATTTTAAGATACTGTAAGTTCTACTACAGTGCTTCCGTAATTATTTTATTGTCAATAATAAATTAAAATAGAAATCATAGGAAGTTGAGAGTATTCTGAAAGGAAGGATATGGTTAAACATGGATTTTGAAAAGACAGTTCACTTGTATTCCTTCTATGTACATACTTCTGACACTTGCTTGGATATAAAGTTCCCTTCTTTTAAACACTGTTTATTCTATGGGACAATTGATTACAGAACATTGGGACCTTCCCTGATTCAGGTTAGTAGTCCCAGGTGACCCAGGATAGCTGCTTCACTCTGGACGTTTTCTCTTACATACATATGAAATGTGACGGCTTTGCCAAATGAGATACATTATCATTTTAAAACTGAGAAATAGCTCGACATGGTGGCTCATGCCTGTAATCCCGGAGCATTTTGGGAGGTTGAGGTGGGCGGATCACCTGAGGTCAGGAGTCCGAGACCAGCCTGGCCAACATGGGGAAACCCCTTCTCTACTCAAAATTCAAAAATTAACTGGGCATGGTGATGGGCGCCTGTAATACCAGCTACTTGGGAGGCTGAGAAGGAGAATTGCTTGAACCCGGGAGGCAGAGGATGCAGTGAGCTGAGATTGTGCCACTGCACTCCAGCCTGAGCAACAGAGCAAGACTCTGTCTCAAACCAACCCACCAACAAACAAACAAAACCAACTGAGAAATAACACTCAGAAAAGGGAAAAGATTATTCAACTTTTGTTAGAAGTTTAGAAGTACATATTGCCTCTTCATGAAGGAATTTCAGTCTTTGTTTTCTGTGCTGACCTGATATTATTAATATAATTTTCTTGATAATGATTACCTAGCAGCACTTTAAATTCATTTCCCATTTTAGAGTTCAGGTATACATACAGACACATGTACACACACACAGTGTACACATATATATATGTGTGTGTATATATATGTGTATATGTGTATATATGTGTGTGTGTATGTATATATTTGAGTGTTAGTATATAGTCTAAAACTTACTGTCCCCTATGTAGCAAACTAATGGTCACTAGTGGAAGTGAAATTTGGCAAGGGATCTTAATCATCAAAATGATATTCTCATTCATTTAAACTGTACATCTTCACAAAATTTTGTGTTTCTAAAATGACCTTGAACTTGCAAATATATTAAGGGTATTGTTTTCAAAGGGATACAGATGGAAATTATAATCTTCATGTCAGGGTCCACACTGGCCAAATACGTCCCAGGATTCCTAAGCTCAGTGTTGCAAGTAGCATTTCAAATATGACTTGACATGACTTTCAGAATGTTTCAATATATGCCCCACTTTGAGACACAAAGGCATCCGTAAAATAAAATGATAAAGTATTAATTTAAAAAATCATCAACGTCTGAGAGAATAGAAAACAGAGGCTTTGGGGTTTGGCAGTGTTGCCGCTGTAGCCACCCTGGGGATGAGTTGAGAAAGTGGGCCCAAATAAGGAAGGCCTGTGGGCCCTGCCACCCATCCACCACAGCAGCGAGCATGTGAGGATATTTGGTCTTCACCCAAGATTTCATTTAGGGGAATAGAAGGGACTTTAGTGCTAACACAACTTGAGAAACACTGCCCCAACAGATCTGCATTTACCTATTAGTCAAAACACTTGGAATACCAAACGTACCAGATTCGCTCATAGTAGTAAGTCAGAGGTCAGCTTCCTTCCCCTTTGTTGTAGGATGCTACCATGCATAACCATTCTGAAACAAAGGTGCAGGGGAGGATTTGGAAAACTTGTTCCTAAATAAGCTGTCTTCTAAGTTGAGCTCCCCTTCTCTAGAAAGTTTCCTTAGGAACTTTGTGCATATTAGAGACAAAGATAAAACCCCTTTTATTGAAGCAAAAAACAATGTTAATAGTTGTTGGTGATGTCTAAATAATATTTTCAAGTCATATTATAATGACGGGGTTTCCCTCAGTACTTTGGATTGAAATAAACGGGTTAGAATGGAGAACAGATGACAGGAGACTTCTTTGAAATTTCTGAAAGGCCATACAATCTTAGGTTGAATAAAGAAGGAATAAGAATAGGAAATACGGGGCCGAGTGTGGTGGCTCACGCCTGTAATGCAAACACTTTGAGAGGTCGAGGCGGGTGGAACACCTGAAGTCAGGAGTTCAAGACCAGTCCAGCCAACATGGTGAAACCTCATCTCTACTAAAAATACAAAATTAGCCAGGTGTGGTGACAGGTACCTGTAATCGCAGCTATTTGGGAGGCTGAGGCAGGAGAATTGCTTGAATCCAGGAGGTGGAAGTTGCAGTGAGCCGAGATCACGCCACTGCCCTCCAGCCTGGGCAACAGAGTGAGACTCTGTCTCAAAAAAACAACAACAACAACAACAAAAAACACAGATGATTTCTTTTAAATACATTTCCAACAGTATTTCTCTGTTTCCTTTTTTAGAAATCCCTTCTGTTCATAGGGCAGTTGGGGTAGAGATGGACACACTTAGCCAGCACGGCTTCTTCCGTGGAAGATGCACTGTGTGTCTCTGCTGTAAGATGTAGACACCTGAGTTTGTGTGTTCAGATACTTTCGAAGAAGATTTTTTGGTGAGACTTCTGTGACAAAGAAAACTGCATATAAAGTTGTTGATGTGGTGTCTGGAACATAGTAATGATTGATGCAGGAGGAAGATAAGGGGGAAGGTCCCTGGAGAGTTTCCCACCAGCCTGTGCGCTGGGAGGAGGGGGTGGAGCCTCAGGAAGTTCTCATCCTTTGCAGCGGGAGCCTGGCCTCTCCTGTTCCTGGGTGGTGACTTGGGATTCAATCTGTGAGATGGGGGCCTGTTCATAAAAACCCTTCTTGCTTTGCTGAGAGTCTTTTTCCTTTTTGCCCAATAGATTCCGGAACCCCTCACCCTTCAAAGGGTCTGTGTGCATAACTCTTCCTGGTCCTGTGACAAGAACCCAGTTTTTTCTACAATAGTAAGGAGTCAGTGAGCATTAGTGTTCTTTCTCTCTCTTTTTCTTCCTCTTCTCTTCGGCAGTATATTTTTCGTTTTCCAGTTGTAGCATCTGTTAGTGTAATATTCCTATTTGCCCTCAAGTAGGGCATTTTCCAGGTTTCTGCAGCTTGAACTTTTCTCTCTTGGTGGAGTGAAGCAGAGGTGGGTGGGGAAGGGAGACCAAGTGAACTCAACCTGGCTCTCCTTTTATTTCCCTGGGGTTAGAAGCCGCAAGTTGTCCTGAGGAGGCTTTGCTGTTCTTGTCGCTCCTGACTTCAGCAGGAATCAAGGACAAAATAATTGAATGACAAAGGAAGATGGAAGCAGCTATAATCAGCTGTTCAGTTCCAATAACAGGAAAAGTAGCCCTCAAACTTTAGAGGACAGTAGAATGACCTAGGATGCCAGTTAAAATTCATCTTCCTGGGCTCCTCCCCAGAGATTCTGAGTCCAAACTTAGGTAATTCTTAGTTTTTAATGTTTTGGTTGATCACTAGTATAGCACAAAGATTAATATATTTTTTAAGAGTTTTTACCACTCCTTGGTAGAGTCTGCTACCCTCAGGGAGCCCCAAAATTATGGCTCAGAATTCTTGGCTTAAAAAATGAGCCACAGCGTCCCCACACCTATGTATGACTCTCAGACAGTCATGTAACACGAACAAGCTTTGGCAGTGGTGTGAGATTGATTTGTAAATTGCCAGTGTCAACATAATTCTTTTCTCATTGGCATTGCCTAGTTAAGGAGTCAGATCTCACTGTGGTTTGTTCTCTCTGTGGTTTCCGTAGGGTTGGGGAGAATGCTACAGAAAAACGAACCCTCTCTAGTTTTGACTGTCTAGGGAGTAAAAAAAAAAAGCCTGTTATTTTTCTGAATTAGGATATAAGACGCCTGCCCTGAAGGTGGCAAATCAGACTTCCACACGCATTGCCTTCATTTAGCCAATAGCCCGCTCTGAATGTGTATATTACGATGTGCAGTTTCATTCATCAAGGGGATTTCGGGCTCCAGCAGCACGCAGCCTCCAGTCTTGAGTGACTCCTGGGCTTTGGCTCAGCAGTAACTCCTCCATAAAAACAAGTGTGTGCATCTGGCTGTCAGAAGAATTCGTGCTCATCCGGGTAAGGATAAACTGGAGAACTTATTCCTTTTTTTTCCCTTTGGGTGGTTTTGAGATTTTTAAAAAATTGACCCTCTCTTTTGAGGAGAGCTCAGAACTATTTGTCTGAAGTTTTTCCATCCAGGCTGCTTTATCGTATTATCCACTGTCTTGCCCTTTAAATGTAAAATCTACCCTCTTCAAAACATAGTTTCATTTTCAAATTTTAAAAGATTCCATTTTTCTTTCTGTGCATGAAACTTTAAAAATTTAAATCACCACAATTGCTACTGGCTTAGAAGTGGGGTCTTATATTTTTAGGAAGTATACTTTAAAAGTTAGGCAGAGGGGAAATCTGTGTTCACATTTGGTTTAAGAAACAATGATTGTTACATTAAAGGGCGGATTTTCAGACGTACTACTTAATCTGCTCTGACAAAGAAGCTATGAGCTCGCTCTCTCTGCCACTTTTCTCCCGATCTGTGTTCTAATGGTGGAATCGGCTCATCTTTTTTCCTTAGGCATGTGGTTTAGTCTGTGTTCTAATGGTGGAATCAGCTCATCTTTTTTCCTTAGGCATGTGGTTTAGTCTGTGTACATTCAGTGCGGTGGCATTTTTCTTGAAGAAGTGACTAAGGCTTCTTGGATGAATTCTGTCTTTGAAAGAGGTGGTAGAATTGCATCAGAAAGGCATTTACAGTAAATGGCTACCCCCCCTTCCTGTAATGACCGCATGTGAAAGAATGCATTAATTCTTGTTTTGAGGAAATGAGAGTTGTAGAGTTCTATGAAAAACTCCCTTTTTTATCATTAGTTAGCCAGGTTTGAATGTTCACATTTTAAAAATCAGGCTCATTTTGTGCTATCTAAATAAAAGCCACAAAGATACGGCTTTCCACTCCATGTTCTACGTGGAGTAACCAATCATCCCGAACTCAGAAAGAGGCAATTATGTTGAATATGGCTACAGTTAATGGCATAAGCCTAAATTAATTTCTTCATAGTCTTTTTTTATATTAAGTTACTGTGCCTCCTAGCTATGTTGCTGATTTGTCCATCAGGATTTGATTCTCAGTGCGATGGACGATGAAGACTAAAAGGAAACTCCCATAGATGATCTGGTCAGGAGTTCTCATAGAAGCAGTACCGCCCCCTAGGTGACAGAGTGGAAATTTATGAGGCTGTTTTGGTGGTACAATGAAGGATTTTTTTTTTTTTTTTTGAGATGGAGTCTCCCTCTGTTGCCCAGACTGGAGTGCGGTGGTGCGATCTCGGCTCACTGCAGCCTCTGCATCCTGAGTTCAGGCGACTCTCCTGCTGCAGCCTCATGAGTAACTGGGATTACAGGCCCATGCCACCATGCCCAGCTAACTTTTGTATTTTTGGTAGAGATGGGGTTTCCCCATGTTGGCCAGACTGGTCTCAAACTCCTGACCTCAGATGATCCACCGGCCTCAGCCTCCCAAAGTGCTGGGATTACAGGCATAAGCCACTGTGCCCAGCCCTAATGAAGGATATTTCATGAGTGAGAGCCAGAGACCTTGATGTCCCACAGTAGAAAAGACATAAAGAATTGCCCCGTGGTGCACATGACTTTCACCTGTCCTGTTGGACATTCAGGTAGGGACGGCTCAGTTTATAATTTGCTGAACCTAGAGTTCATTCCATTTTTTCGTGAAAATGCAAAATAATTTTTGCATGCTTTTAATATACACAGAATAGATTCATTGTCATTCTCTGGTCCATCTATACTACTACTTTCATTTTCCTGCACTTTTAATATGGAAAGCTTCTAATCTGACTTCTCTTAAATACAAACTTGTTCTTTATAAGTAAGTTACAAGCATCTATTTGAGTACATAGTTAACTGCACCTGAAAATTATTTATATAATGAAATGTTAAGTATTTTTTGTTATACATTGCTTTTTTTAGATTATCTTTTATGTTACATTTAGGATATTCATGTTTTAAAGCTGCATGTACAGTAGTTAATATTATCAAAAATTTGATTTTAGAGTACTAAATGGGACATGACAGAATTTTTTTGTCATATAAAGAGGGCTTTGAGACTAATAGGTAGGGTTTTGAACCAATGAACCAATCCCTGCCTCAACGTTTAAGGAAGGAGGGTATGCAAATTACCCAGATAGGAGGGATGCTTATCTTCTTCATGAAGCTACCCAGGGAGGATTTCACATGTATCTCATTAATTTGTTCTAGTATTTTGAAATCTTCATATTAAGCTAGTTCTTCTGTATTAATATTTTCTAGGAGTTTTCATATGTCACTCTAAAAACATGACTGGGCCAGGTGCAGTGTCTCATGCCTGTAATCCCAGAACTTTGGGAGGCCAAGGCAGGTGGATCACTGAGGTCAGCAGTTCGAGACCAGTGTGGCCAACATGGTGAAACCCCATTTCTACTAAAAATACTAAAATTAGCTGGGCATGGTGGCAGGTGCCTATAATCCCAGCTACTCGGGAGGCTGAGGCAGAAGAATCACCTGAACCCGGGAGGCGGAGGTTATAGTGAGCTGAGATCGCGCCATCACACTATAGCCTGGGTGACAGAGCAAGACTCTGTCTCAAAACAAACAAACAAACAAACAAAAAAACATGGCTGGGCACAGTGGCTTACGCCTGTAATCCCAGCATTTTGGGAGGCCATGGTGGGCGGATCACCTGAAGTCAGGAGTTCAAGACTAGCCTGGCCAACATGGCAAAATCTTGTCTCTACTAAAAATACAAAAATTAGCCGGGTATGATGGCACACCCCTGTAATCCCAGCTACTTGGGAGGCTGAGGCAGGAGAATTGCTTGAACCCGGGAGACAGAAGTTTCAGTGAGCCAAGATCGCACTGCTGCACTCCAGCCTGGGTGACAGAGTGAGACTCTGTCTCAGAAAAACAAAACAAAAACAAAAAATCTATGACCTTTGGTTACTCCCCTTCTATAGAAAAGACAGGCAGGTATTGAGAGAATTAAACTTCTGTAAACTTGCAGAGGAGTTAAAAGCAGACTCAGGTTTTCTTGAACAGTGGACATGGTGGCACTGTCCCTTTGTCATGAACATAATCCACATATGCCATTACAAACTGTTGACAGTACTGGAAGATATAACACATTCTAGGTAAGGTATTGTCTATATGGTAGATTAAATCATCAGAAATACAAAAGCTGGGTGCGGTGGCTCACGTCTGTAATCCCAGCACTTCGGGAGTCTGAGGTGGGTGGAGCACTTGAGGTCAGGAGTTTGAGACCAGCCTGGCCAACATGGCAAAAACCCATCCCTCCTAAAAATACAAAAATTAGCCACACGTGGTGGTGCACACCTGTAATCCCAGCTACTCGGGAGACTGAGAAAGGAAAATTGCTTGAACCTGGGAGGCGGAGGTTGCAGTGAGCCGAGATCACGCTTCTGCACTCCAGCCTAGGCAACAGAACAAGACTCTGTCTTAGGGGGGGAAAAAAAAAAAGAAAAAAAGAAAAGAGAAAGAAAAAAAGAAATACAAGTGTGAGGTTAAGGTACTCAAGCCTGTGCACACATAGTGTTCCCTATTGTTATTTGAGGCTCGCATTTTAAATTTCATAGAGCTTTTTCTTGTAGTTCTCGTTTTTTTGTTGTAGTTGTTCTTGTTATGTGCATGTAATTATTCTCAAATATTTCCAGGAATACTAATAAATTGGGGTGTTTTTTTTTTTGAGTTTTTTTTAAGAAAAAAAAGTCTTCTCTTAATATTGTTTCTTCCAGAGTCTTTTTGTTGTTTATCTTAGTTTTTCTCTTTCATGTTGCAGACTTTTAAAATGTGTATTTATTTTTGATTGTCTCTTCTTTTTAAAAATGAAGTGGCATTATGGCTGCCTAGAAGTCCTGCATGACAGCACCTGCCTCTAGCAGGCTTCAGCCTGGGTGCACACAGCCGCCATGAGCCCTCTTGCTGGAGAACTGCTAGATGTCAGAATGAGGAGGGCTTGACTGTGGGGTTCTCTTCACCACACTAGCTGTTTGGTCCTCACTAGACAATTTGTTTAATTTTTTTAGAGAATCATCTCCCTTTTCTTATTTTCGCTCGGGAGTGGGGAAGCTGTAAGGTTTCTTCTTTCTTTTAAAGACAGGACGTAGTCATGAAAGGAATAATTGTTGATATCCAGACTTTTTGATTCTTCTTCTCCTTTCTACCTTTCTTGCCACTTCTGTCACATACAGTTCATACTTTTTCTGAGTCTGCAGCCTCTTTGGGGTCCAACTGAATACAATCAACTATTCACTGCCTCGGCCGTACCCGCTCAGAACTCTCTGGGCTGTAAGCTGCCTCTGCTCAGTTTCATCGCTTAGTGCTCTCCCCACATCCTTCTGGCTTCCTGACATTTGGTGAAGTGTCTCAGGCCCTTGAAAGTTGTTGTTGTCGTTGTTGTGGGTGGACATACCCCTTTTATAATTGTAGTGGGGTCTTCCAGGTGCCCTGACCGCCATCGTGAAAGGAGAAGTACTTTCATCTGTTGATTTGTCAAAAGTATATCTGAACAAGTCAATTGGGAATACCTTTAGCCAGGCATTTAGCCAGGGAAAAGATTAGATGGAGCACAATGACTGCAGTGGGTACTGGGGTTTGGGAAAACGAATCCTCACAATTACTGGGTTGGGAGGAAACAGTGGGCTGACATTATTATAGAAAGATACGCTTTCCAACCAGTGACGACATAGCCATTAATCATACAGCCCCGTAAGAAGATCTTTTAGCTTTGTTGCTCAAAGAAAGTTGCATCTTGTAAAACATACAACTTAGTCATTTAAAAAAATCTTTAAGTAGTGGTACTTGTTCCTGATCTTAATATAAATTAAATTTGGATATGCCTGCTTAATTTTTTCCCTGCCCTTTAGTATAAGAGCTTCTGAGAGAATCTCCTATTCTTCCCTTCTGTACTATTTATTTCTTGGGGCATAGACCCTCATACTCACTCTTCTTTTTCTTACAAGAAGCAATTCAGATTCTCCTTTCCCATCTCCTTTGTGGAAAAAAAC